CAACTCCCAGAATTCCCCAGCCAGCAAATGCTGGCTGGGGAATTCTGGGAGTTGAAGTCCAGACATCTTCAAGTTGACAAAGTTGAGAAACATTGGTCTTATGGCTAAAGCACCAGGCTCAGAAAAAAGAGACTGTGAGTTCAAATCCCAGTTAAGCCATGAAAACCAGCTGGGTGACTTTGGGCAGTCACTCTTTCTCAGCCCAACAATCCTCACAGGATCGTTGTTATGGGGAAAGTAGAAGGAGGAAGGTGTGTTGGACACTGTTATGTTTGCTGCCTTGAGTTATTTTATAAAAATAACAAAGGCTGGAAATAAGTAAATATGGGGCAGGCTACTCCCTTTGCATTATTGCCCCTATCTCCCCCAACAGTCTGTGGCCTGTTGTTTAGAAGCACCAAACCTGGCTATGAAAATTGCAGATAAATTACCAGAGGACAGCAAAACAAAACAAAAAAATCAGATTTTTTTTCTTCTTCTGTCTTGTGGATATTATTTCAGTTTTTCATCGACTAGAATTTACCTCAGTTGTTCAAAGGGTGCTCACACCTGAAATTCAGGATTCTCAAGTTGTGTGTGTTATGAGCTCCCCGAATTTGCTAATTAGTAGTAACAGCCCTACAACTGTGAGTAAAAATGAAAATGGGATAACTTGATTGTTTGGCAAAGTGCCATCAAAAAGTGCCAGAATTGGATCCATTGGGAGATATTTCAGATTAAAGTTGAAGTTGAACGCATGAAAGGAATGAATCAGAGAAGTCTTGACTTATTAGTCATCTTCTTTTAACGACCCGATAATCCTTTGCGGGGTGGAATCTGGGCAACTGAATGGAGCTAGAAGAGTGTTTACTGGCTGGATGCCCTTCCTGCCACCAATGCGGAGTTTTGCTCAGCAGATATATTCTCATTGTGCCCAGAGAAGATTGATTTCCTTGTGCTTGTCATTATTTGATGTAATAATGTGTGTGTAAATGATCAAATCACCAAAAACAGAGTGAAAAGTGGCGTGTTCTGTCCCAGTAATATACATGCGCACTGCCCCAATTGTTATTTGTGTATATTTTTTTTCTGAATTTGGCACATGGCAGCCTAGTGATGGTAGAGAGCATGTTGGACTGGACAGATTTTTAAAAATATTATAAAATCCTTGAAGAATTATCGCCATCCAGCTATATATGTTTGTTTGAAAAATAGATGAATTTGTTAATTAATTTACATTGATGTAGCAATAGTACTTATATACCGCTTCACAGTGCTTTATAGCCTCTCTAAGCGGTTTACAGAATCAGCCTCTTGTCCCCAACAACCTGGGTCCTCATTTTACCCACCTTGGAAGGATGGAAGGATGAGTCAACCTTGAGCCTAGTGAGAATCGAACTGCCAAACTGCTGGCAGCTGGTGATCAGCAGAAATAGCATGCAGTACTGCGTCCTAATCACTGCGCCACCGCGGCTCATTATGGCATGCTTTTTCCAGAATTTTGTGTGTATGTGTGAAATGTGTGTTTGTCCATAATTTCATTTCTACAGGTGGTATAGTATATGCATTTGGCTTGTCTCTGTGTCTTTGTTGAAGCGATGCGTGGAAATGAGCTGGAATAAGACTAAAGAAGAGAATTTTGATTTGCTGTATTGCTATGCACACAGGAAAATTCCCATAGGGATAATAAAAATAGCAAAGACAACTGGGAATTTGCTAATTTGGAGCTAACTCATTGGAGGAGTAAAACTTGGCACAGAATTAACAGTTGATGACAATCCTAGGCAAGTGGTCAGATAGTGCTTCCCTATCTAAAATTGGGGATGGGGTTGTATTAAAAGGCAATTTCCCTCTGTATGTTTGCATGTAATCAGGACTGTCAGCCTTGGCCCAGTGCTGAACTTTCAAAGCCATTATTACGTCTCTCGCACAAACCCAGAGAATGGTCTGTACAGTTTTGCTCCAGGGATTCATTTAATCTTCCAGCGACCAAACACAAACCTTTACTAGAATAGACAGTGAAATCAAAAGAGTGCATTTCAGCAGAAGGTAGCAAGTTGAGGGAGATACAAAAATTATGTCATTTCACTTTGAGAGTTGGAGTATTGGGGTTCATCATTCTGTCGCAATATTTTTCCTCCTCTTATCTATACCGTTGGTCTGTTTTCATAGCCAGCTCGGGCAAAAACACGATCTTAAATCATTTTTTACAACTAAGGTTGCCATGGCCTTCCTGTCCCAAGGCTTTTTATAACCGCTGTAAATTTTGTTCATACAGCACATCGAGGCAGAAAAGGGGGAGAATTAAAGTTTTTGAAGCACCATTGAAGTCTGACGCTTTCCAATAATTTTAGGTTCCATGCTGAGAGCTGCCATAAATTGCAGGAGCATCCAGAAAGGAGTTGAAATCTGCAAGATGGCGGTCAGAGGGTGACAGTCAGTGGTGGGCTTCAAAAATTTCAGCAACGGGTTCTCTGCCCGGGTGCTGGGTGGGCGTGGCCATGGTGGGCGTGGCCTAATCGGCCTCCTGCACCACAGCGGTGTGTGTGTGTGTTTTTGCCTTCCCCAGGCTTTCCTCAAGCCTCTGGGAGAGTGAAAACTGCTTCCCCCAGATTCTGGAGGCTGCAAATGGGCCTGTTTCTGGCCTTCTGAAACTTTCAGGAAGCCCATTTTCCCCCCCTCCCTGAACCTCCGCACGGGCCCTGGACTTATCTCGCATCCAAAACGGGCTGCATGGAGACTCCTGGGAGGGGCCAGTCAGGGGTGGAATTTGGAGGTTCTCCGAACCGGCCATAACGTTAGCTACAGTTTCTCCTGCGAACCTGTAGAGCCCACGCCTGGTTATAGTCCAAATCCGGCCATGTGTTAGTGTTTAACAGACATACATATGATTGTTTTAATGCATGTAATAATTTTATGCATCTGGAAGAAAGCTGTTTTGCATATATATTTCATTTCTTTTTATCATCATTATCACCATCATCATCATCATCATCATCACATAATATAGCAAAAGCATCCACAATAAATTATTAAAGTGAAATAAAATGCTACGAGTAAAAATTAAAATTGGATTTAAAAGTTGAAGTTTTTAGGTTCTATTATCGCCAAGGACTTGAAATGGATACCTAACATTAGAACAGTGTTTCTCAACCTTGGCGACTTTAAGTCCTGTGGACTTCAACTCCCAGAATTCCCCAGCCAGCGAGAGCTGGCTGGAGAATTCTGGGAGTTGAAGTCCACAAGTCTTAAAGTTGCCAAGTTTGGGAACCACTGGCTTAGTGGTTAAGACACTGAGCTTGTCGATGTTATGAGATGACAGGCCTGGTGCCATTAAATAGCTTCAGGACACTACATTTCCCTTGTGACAAGGACACTGTTTCTATACATGTCCTTTCAAGGAATGCTGACGTGTATTTCTTCAAAACCTACCTACAGATCGCATACAGCTAGTCCTTGGCGTGCAGCCATTCGCTCAGTGATTATTAAAATTGTAACAGCCCTGCTGAAAAAAAGTGACTTTAATGAGCAGTCTTTGCACCTCTGACTCTCACGTGATCATGTGATTAAAATTTGGGTGCTTTTAAAATACAGCCGGTGTGTACTTATGACAATTGCAGGATCCTGGGATCACAGCGCCATTTTGCAATATTCCCTGCAGGGAAGCAAAGTCAAAGGAATCACCCATGCGATTCATTTAACAATTCACTTAACAACGATGCCAGAAAAAATGGCAAAATGGGCTGCAGCTCACTTAACAGATAAACAGAAGAACGGAGTTGGAAGTGACCTTGTAGGTTGATCGTTCTCAACTGTCAGAAAATTCCTCCTTATTTCCAGGTTGAATCTCTCCTTCCATCCATTATTCCTTGTCTGGCCTTCAGGTGCTTTGGAAAATAGCTTGACCCCCTCCTCTCTGTGGCAGCCCCTCGGATATTGGAAGATTGCTATCATATCTCCCCTGGTATTCTCTTCACTAGACTAGCCAGGCCCAGTTCCTGCAGCCGTTTTTCATATGTTTTAGCCTCCAGCTTAACAACTATCTTGCTTAGCAATGGTAAGTGCAAGGATTGGTTGTAGGTCAGGTGTTTTCGGTGCTGTTGTAACAGTCCCTAAAAGAATGGTTGTAAATTGAGGACTACATGCAGTGATAAAGGTGCGAGACTGGATGTAAATATCCAAGTTTAAGTCTATACTTAGGATATAAACTTCCTTCGGAAAACTTTGGACTGGATTTCTCTCTTACTCTCGTTCAGTACAGCTGTTGTGAAGGGAGAAGAAAATATTCCCGTGTGAGAGGACTTTGGTTCCTTGAGGAAATTTAAAAAAAAAATAAAATCAAATAAGTAATAAATGTATAACACTTTTTAAATTTTCTCCCCAGGCCCCCCCTCGATCTGCTATACTTCCAGTACTCCTGTGCAGGTACTGGAAGACCCTGGCTATCTTCATACAGATCCTCATCGGTTTGGCAATGGGCAAGATGGTTCCCCATTAATGGTAGAAGCGGTCAATAATATTGAAGGTAAGTTTTTTTCCCCTCTTCATCTCTAGTTTGGTTTTCTGCCAGTCGTGTCTTGGATTTCAATTTTCACCATGTTGTTATTGGCCACACAGCGGGGGGGGGGGAGGTTTTATTGCATTGCATCAAGTGTTTCAATGGCCTCATAGAATCATAGAGTTGGAAGGGACCTTGGAGGTCTTCTAGTCCAATCCCTTGCCCGGCAGGAGTCCTTATTCCACCCTAGACAAATGGTTGTCAAATCTTCTCTTGAACCTCCAGTGTTGGAGCATCCACAACGGGGAGGCAAGCTTTTCAATTGATTAACTATTCTCACTGTCAGGAAATTTCCGTGTTTCCCCAAAAATAAGACAGGGTCTTATTTTCTTTTGATCTCCGAAATAAGCACTTGGTTTTATTTTCAGGGAGGTCTTATTATTTTTGAGGTGCAGGAGGCTTCTTAACCTTAGCCTGCCGATCAGCTGATCCAGAGAGGGCCGGAAGTTCTCTCTCTGTTTCTGACACACTCTTGTCAGCCTTAGCGTCTCTGAGCCTGCCGCTCTTTTTGCAGCCGCCAAGAGAAGGGGCACATTAACTAGGGTTTGCGGGCGCAGGCTCCGTGAGGCCATTCCGCGTGGATGTCAGGGGCATGGGGGCATCTCCCCCCTCCCCCCAGGAAATGGCGGGGGAATGGCTGCGCATGCCTTTAAATTAAGGTGACCAGATTTTAACATTGGTAAAGCGGGACACCATTGACCGGGAGGGGGGGTGGATCTTGATTAAAAATTTGGTCTATATGGTCCATGGAGCAACAAAAATTTTCATAGAACGCAAAAACAGTATTAACAAAAATAATATAAAACTCATATCCTGGCGAAATAGCCACATGGCTGCCAAAAACCGTATATTCCCTTCCCGTTCTCCCGCCGTTCCCTAGCTTGTCGTGCATTCTTTCAAAAAATCGGGACTTTTTAAAAATGCCGCGGGACGTGGGACAAATTGTTAAAAATCAGGGCTGTCCCACCAAAGCGGGATATCTGGTCACCTTGCTTTAAATATTTTAGGAGAGGGCTTATTTGGGGGGGAGGGCTTATTTTAGCACATGCACTCAAAAGGCCGATTGGGCTTATTATCCAGGGAGGTCTTATTTTTGGGAAAACAGGGTAGTTCCAGGTTGGATCTGACTAGCTTCCAACCATTGTTTCTTCTCCTGCCCTCAGGTGCTATGGAGAATACATTTTGCCTCTCTTTTCTGTAACTACTCCTATATATTGGAAAACTGCTCTCATGTCAAGGGAGAGTTTATAAACAGGGAAAGCAGTAGGGTGAATGATAGGAAAAAATGTGCTTTTTCATAATTTCATTCCTTTAATTTTTTTAAACATTTTTTTTACCTTCTACCCTTTACAGCAGGGGTCTCCAACCTTGGCACCTTTATGACTTGTGGACTTCAACTCCCAGAATTCCTCAGCCAGGGCTGGCTGAGGAATTCTGGGAGTTGAAGTCCACAAGTCATAAAGTTGTCAAGTTTGGAGACCCCTGCTTTACAGGATGTACTGCGGGTGGTTTAAGATTAGAAACAAAACCTGGTAGATATTATAGAACAAGAATCCGTTGTGAAACAATTTAAATGCTGTACTCAAGAATAAATCCCATTAAAAAAAGATAAGTGTAGGACATATAGTATCCCTATGAATTTTAGTCACCCAGACCCTGAGAATGAATTGCCCGTAATGGTCCATGAATTAAATGTTGTCCTATGGTTAAAATTGTGTCCTTGTAGTAGAACATAGAATGAAGAAGATGAAATGTTAAGAAAAGAGAATAAATAAATGGCTAGACAGACACATTTAAAATATTACTTCAGTGGCCTCGCTTCCTAACTCCTCAATGGACCTTGTTTATGGAGATTCTCAATCAACCAGGTCATGGTTGTCCCAAAGATACTTTTTTCTAAAAGGCCACTGGACTTTCTGGGTTTTTTTTTTCTTTGAAGATATTTCGCTTTTCATCCAAGAAGCTTCATCAGTTCTAAATGCTCTATAGAACTGAAGAAGCTCCTTGGTTGAGAAGTGAAAGCTTTTCAAAGGGAAAAAAACTAAGAAAATTCAGTTGCATTTTTTTTTGGGGGGGGGGCAAAGTACCTTTGAGACAATCCTCACTTGGACCAACTTCTAGATAATATTTATTGATTTATTTATAAAAGTTACAGACCATCCATCTTACCTTTCTCCCCCCCTCCCCCCACATCTCTTTCCTTTCTTTCTGCTTGGCACCTGGG